GGCATCCCAAAGGAAGCTCATCCCCCATCTTTTCCTCCAATGGACCCCAAAACGCAGCCGGTGTGGCAGGAAGAGCCGCAGGTGCTGGGTCCGGCTGCAGGTTTAGAGCCGGGCTGGGCTGGCAGCCCCAGTCCGGCACGCAGGCTCACCCCGGCACTCCAGGATGCGGATCTCCAGCACCGGCAGGTGGGTCTTCATGTCACGGAGGATGCAGACGTCCCGGTAGCTGCTCCTGCACACAGCACGGAGGGAGATGGCAGAGCTGCGAGGCACAGACACCAGCAAGGCAGCCGGCGAGACGTGAGCCACTCCGGCTCCTCAGCCAAGGATGCACCGCTGCCCATGGCGAAAGCCCCCCTGCCTCACCGGGGCTGCCAGAAGGTGACCGAGCTGAGAGAAGAGGCTGTCAGAGGCACAGAAACATCCTGAAAAAGGTGGAAGCCACATCCAAAGAGCCAGAAAAGAGCATAAATTCAAAGCAGAGCAGAAAGGCAAGATGGCTGAGAGCAATCGCCGTTCCCAGGGGCTCCTGGCACATCTCACATCGGCACAACCATCCTTCAAGCCAAGCCGGTCACATGAGGGTGATGTGTTTTGAAGGAAACAGGGATTTGTGGAGATGAGCAATTCGGTAAATGATTTGCTTGTATTTCCAAGGCCTTTGGCAAGGTCCTGTCAAAGACCTTATGGGCACATGGGGAAAAACCACTGTGACTGCCCAGACACAGCGAGGAGTTGGCTCCTGCCACCAGGAAAGAGACCTCAGTGGTCTCATGGATGCTTCTTCAAAGACAAATCTCACTGCTCGGCCAAAAAAAGGCAAATGGGCAGGTTCTGAGGAAGGAGGAGGAGATCTTCGCACCCCTGTGTAAACCCCTGCCTGCCTTGAGAAGGGTCCTGCAGAGCCAGAGTGAAAAGGGAAAGGTGAAGCACCCCAGGACTTCTTGGCTACAGCACGGCAGAGATCCTCAGAAAGGAGATGGCAGCAGCACATGTCCCCAGAGGCAAGAAGGAGGAGGAGGACGAGGAGGAAAGACGCCCAAAGTCACCATGCAGGAGGAAGCACGCTGCAGCCCAGCTGCCGCAGCACACATGAGGAGCAGGAGTGGAGATGAAGGTGCTCAGTGGGCACGTGGAGGCGGGGGGCCACCACGCTTGCGGGGACAGATGTAACCTGCATCCAGGGACCCGCGGAGAGCCACCGTCACTGCTGGGTCACTCAGGACTGACCCCAGCCCTTTCCTTAGCGTCTGCTCAGGATGCGGAGATAGCTTGGGTATTTGGCCCAAGCCAGACCCAGGCTGCTCCTCGCTCGTTACTCACTCGTTAATAAGGACGGTTCTCAGGTGCTGCAGCCTGTTTGATGCCCCACCATACACGGCCACCCGCCTGGGTACGTAGGAGTTGGCCTGCCCATCCAGCATCAGCCACAGGTTCCTGGGGATGAGAAGAACAATGGGCAGTGTTGTCCTCCCCTCCCGAGCTGCCTGGGCACAGAGATGCCCCTGGAGATGTCCCAGGGCTGGGGGCAAGGCTATATCCTCCTGGGGTGCATCTGGCAGCAGCTCCCCCCCACCGCAACCCCAAGCTCCCAGCGGCAGCATGGGGAAAGCTGCTTTCAAGAGGAAGATGGTATTTTGCCCCGCACCCTGCCGGTCACTGGCACAGCTGCCAGCGGGAGGGGACACCCTGAGGTCTCACTTGACAATGGCGCCTTTCTTCATGTTGAGCCGCACCCAGTGCTGCCCCCGGGGCCCATTGCTCTCCCAGAAGGTGTATGTCTGGTTGTCAGTCAGATGGGCCGCACCGCAGTCCTCCTGCAAGAGTGCAGTGAGCAGAGGGAAGGAGCTGAGCATCCTTGGGCACACCATGGCCACCCCCGGGACAGGTCCCGGGGGGCCAGAGGAGGTCAGGACCAGGCCAGCCCCTTGGTTCACTGGGCTGCGGGTGGATCGTGGCTCCCACACAGAGCAAGCTGGGCATGCCCATGGACCCCTCGCAGTGGCCCAGAGACACAATGGGGTTTTTGCTCCAGATGCCCAACTCCTCACAGCTTCGCTAGAGTGGCAAAACCCCACCACCATCCCCTTTGCTCCTCCCTGCAGCTGCGGTGATGCTCGTGTGTCTCATGCTGATTTTAAGCCATGGAGGAGCCCCGCTACGCACCGCCTGCGAGGAGACCTCGACGCTGCTGAGGTGCTCCTTGGAGCAGTCCCCGTGCTGCAGCTCCCTCTCGCTGTGATCGTACAGGAAGCGCCCCAGCTCCATGTCATGCTCGTAGCTCCAGCCTGGGGGCACAGACCTGCAGGGGGGCTCCGTGTTAACAGGACAGGGAGACCAGGCCACACCCCAAACCTGCCCACCAGCACTGTGCAGGTGCCCCAGCTCAGATCGGCTGCATCATCTCATGGTCAATACATGGCGATGGCACCGGGCAGCTGTCCCCGCCACAGGTAGATGGCACAGCTGTATCTCGTCACCACCATGACAGGTGTTTATGGCCACCCCAGCCCAGTGGGAATAGCACCACGCCGTCACTCCAACGCTCCATGGAGCAAAGGCCATCTTCGCTTGAGCAGCGTTGAATGGTATCAATGTAAAAGGCATCTCATGGCACCCATTCTCCCCACTCCTGCCCCTTGGGGTGCTCCAGTACTGCTGTAGGAGGTGCACTCATACCTAAACTTCTGCACTGCGGCCTCATCCTGCTCTATGAGTCTGGGTTTCTCTCCCAGGCGCATGGAGTATGTCAGGTCCACCACTTGTTTCCAGCTGAAGCAGCACCAGCAGAGGAGTCACACAAGGGAAAAAATGGGTCAGTGCTCAGCGTGCCCAAGTGTTACTGGCTTAGCCTGGAGTGGAGGCAGCAGCAGTGGAGGACCAGTGATGGCATCCACGGGATGTCAGATGGGAACAGCTGCAGGAGGGATGAGAGCATCCCTGCACCTGGGTGCAGGCTGGGGCAGAGTGGGGGAATCCAGCCCTGCACATGGCCTTCCATCGTGAAAATCAAATATAAGCTCTCTCGTGACTACATTACCGCTACGACATCGCTCAGCCCAAACCCGAGTGCCTCAGAAACCCCCTGGCATCATCTTTATCCTGCGCAGGTGCTGCCACAAGCAAACAGGGTTAGCTCAGGAGGGGGCACCCTCCTGCCCGAGGGCGGCTCGGCAGGGATGTATCCCACCTGCGCTGGAGGGAGCGAGGGGGGCTCTGCTGGATGTGCCCAAAGGATTTGGGATGGTTGGGTCACATGTTCTCTGTGGGTACTGGCCACACGCGCCTCCAGTGCCCACAGCCCGGTCCCTATCAGGGATGCAGCAGGCTGGGGCCATACCTGACCGCAGGTTTATAATCAACCCCGAGTGTTTGGTG